GGCTCAGGGCGCAATCTTTTGCGCCCTGAGGCGGAAATACGTCCTCAGTCCGACACAGACAACGCTGATGAGCTTAATCAATCCAACTCAGCATAAACTATAAAGTATTTCTTCCACATCTGAAATAAAACGCACATAAATTTCGAAATATTTTAATGTTATTATTTTTTTTAACGTTTTATTCAAGGTAACATGGCAAGTTGTGAGTGGTGGGGCGGCGCCCTAGCGCCCTCTATTGGCCGGCCGCCACTGGTCTGTAGGCGAACTGCAGCAGGTCCAGGGTGGGGCTGACCACAGAGCGGAGATGGGTGAGGATGAGCCGCTCCATGGTCTTCATCAGGCGTCTATCAATCTTTCACACCATACCTGAAAAGACGTAATGTTTTTGTAGGCATTGACCCAGTGAATAAAATTGATGCACTGAGTAGAATGTTTAGGATAGGGAGTTGCCTAACACACGGTTGGTTTCTCCACTCTGCCTTCTCTCGACACTTTTCACATACAGTCTTAACCGTCAGAAGAGTGCCAATTGACAGAAGAAATAAACATCAATGCAGTAATGAAAGTATTTTCAATGTATGGTGAAATTCTGTTAACTGCTTGAATAAATTTACGTTCTTGAAACAACAATTTCTTCCACTACAGGATGTACAAATGGACAATAGGAGGAGAAGGGAGGACTCAAACACGATGTACTTCCTCCTTTTATTGAAGGGTTCATCATCATCTGACCTTAATAAAAGAAAGAAAAATAATGTGTTAAACATAATTTAGGAATCACTATCTGGCCTTGAATTTATAATAATATAATTTATACTTGCTTCCTTTCATCAAATGGACATGATCCTTCGTCACAAACACCTTCATCTTCAAGGATATAGTCTTCATCGTCATCAATATCTTCATCACTACTGTCATCGATTTCCATTGATTCCTCATCACTAAAGTCTTCAGATGAAGATGGTTCTCTCGTCCTCCTTTTCTTCTCCGTTTGATGACACTGTGTTGCCACAGACCTGAAATGATGTTTTTTCTGGCAGGTGTCACATTTTGGGATCCACTTCTTTGTTTGTACTTCTATTAAGAAAAAATAATAAACTTAATAAGAGGAACCAAGAAATTGAAAGCAAAATCTGAAAAATGTGTGAAAATACATGACTGTTTGAAGAGAATGACAGCATTTTATCATACATGTACAATGTACCTATCTACAATTTACTCGCTAATCAAGATCTTGGAATAGATGGGCCACATTGGAATCAATCCTCCCCTCATCTTGATTGAACTATTAATCTGCAGACTATGACATGCCAAAATATCTCCACATACTTTTGACAGAAGTTGTTGCCTGTCGAGGATCTATACCAGAAATATCCAAATCATCCCTGGCTTTGGCTTCGCTGGCATCAAACTCGACAAATGCTTCCTGAACCAGACGTCTCCTTTCCCTTTTCCGGTATGCAGATCTTGGCTCTGGTGTAGCCCTACTTGTGGATGGTAGAGGTGTGGGAGCATCATCACTGCGAGCTACTGGTGTATCAGCAAAATCAGGGGACGAACAGTGTATGGTTGGAACAGCCATTGAGGTTAACATAAGTCTGTTAAGAATAAAAATGAAAAATAAAAATGTATCATTCAATCAAGGTGAAATTATATGGTGTGGACATTGTCCCTCACTGACTGGGACAGTTATTCGAAATTCATCGTTATAAAACTTTAATAAAGAAACCTTTTATTGGATTGTATTTGAATTCGGACGTTCTGCTCTCCCAAAATTTCATCCACTGAGCGGCGCTGTGATCAAAAAATGACACCGTTTGTTGCCCAGTTCACTTCCGGTTGATTTCATACAATGGCGAATATGGCTCACAAAAACAACAAACGATTGACAGTGCCTGAATTGCGTGAAAGGTTGAAGCGAAAGGGTATTTGCAGTGTGGGAAAACGAAAGGAGGAATTGTTGTTGCTAGTTCAACGAGCGGATGGTGTTTATGAAGATTTAGAAGAAGATGACAGCGAGCAGAGTGAACGAAAACGGCTGTGTGTGCGAGTGACAGATGGTAACAATGAGAATGAAGTTCAGCTAAGAGGGAAGAATGTGAATTGGACGGATGATTTGCGCGATATGCCACTAGTTAGAGACGGGAATGTATTTGCATACAGAAAATGACGAAAACACTCAACCATTTAGAGAAAATGCGCCGGGCAGAGAGAACCCGGAAGTTGCGAAGGCAAGTGTTACCCATAATGCAACGCAAAATTCAGTCGCTCCCCCGCCCATCGGATGGAATTTTGGGAGAGCAGAACGCCCGAATTGAACTTTCCTCCTCGAACGCAAGATCTTTCAACGAAGAAATTAACTTTACCAACATACAACATGAGACAACAATTATTTAACTAAAGTAAAAACAGTGAATATTCCAGTAAATATACACTTACTTTTTTGCATAGCCCTCCTGATACTGACGCCAATTCACAAAACAATCTTCCGTGAAGTGCTTGTGGCAAACGAAACTCCACTTAGTCGGCTTGTCAAAATTGGCCCGCTTCATTCTTATGAACGCGGTCCACATTCTCGCTCTTGCCTTTTCCTTTGGCCATTCATACAGCTTGCTAAACTCTTGCGAGAAATGCATCGCTGCACAGCGGCGTGGCATGGTAAGAGACGGAGAAAAGACGCTAGCGTGTATACCGTGTACAGTGTTTTGACTGAGACATGGTACTTCCGGGTCTGGCATTCTACCTTTATGACGTCACTGGGAAAAGCCGGGCAGTGCCCGCATTCCGTTGCTATGGCCGTTGTTACGGCTCTATTTCGGGTTTGGGAAGTCGGATGAAAAAAATGTAAACGACAGATTAATCCTAGCCTCTAGACTTGTTTCTATGTGGAAATAAACCCACTAGAAATGAACCTTGCACAACATCTTTAAAGTAATTATCTGTTTCATTTTCAAGTCTAAGCTTTCTGTTCCTCTATGATGTTTGTTTGTTATGACTCTATGATATCTGCTTGTTGTGACTCTATGACGTCTGCTTGTTGTGACTCTATGACGTCTGCTTGTTGTGACTCTATGATGTCTGCTTGTTGTGACTCTATGATGTCTGCTTTTTGTGACTCTGACGTCTGTTTGTTGTGACTCTATGACGTCTGCTTGTTGTGACTCTATGATGTCTGCTTGTTGTGACTCTATGACGTCTGCTTGTTGTGACTCTATGACGTCTGCTTGTTGTGACTCTATGATGTCTGCTTGTTGTGACTCTGTGATGTCTGCTTGTTGTGACTCTATGATGTCTGCTTGTTGTGACTCTGTGATGTCTGCTTGTTGTGACTCTATTATGTCTGCTTGTTGTGACTGCTATGTCTTGTGACTCTATGATGTCTGCTTGTTGAGACTCTATGATGTCTGCTTGTTGAGACTCCATGATGTCTGTTTGTTGAGACTCTATGATGTCTGCTTGTTGAGACTCTATGATGTCTGTTTGTGACTCTATGATGTCTGCTTGTTGTGACTCTATGATGTCTGCTTGTTGTGACTCTATGATGTCTGCTTGTTGTGACTCTGTGATGTCTGCTTGTTGTGACTCTATGATGTCTGCTTGTTGTGACTCTATGATGTCTGCTTGTTGTGACTCTATGATGTCTGCTTGTTGTGACTCTATGTCTGCTTGTTGTGACTCTATGATGTCTGCTTGTTGTGACTCTGTGATGTCTGCTTGTTGTGACTCTGTCTGCTTGTTGTGACTCTATGATGTCTGCTTGTTGTGACTCTATGTCTGCTTGTTGTGACTCTATGATGTCTGCTTGTTGTGACTCTGTCTGCTTGTTGTGACTCTATGATGTCTGCTTGTTGTGACTCTATGATGTCTGCTTTTTGTGACTCTGACGTCTGTTTGTTGTGACTCTATGATGTCTGCTTTTCGTGACTCTATGATGTCTGCTTTTTGTGACTCTGACGTCTGTTTGTTGAGACTCTATGATGTCTGCTTATTGTGACTCTATGATGTCTGCTTTTTGTGACTCTGACGTCTGTTTGTTGTGACTCTATGATGTCTGTTTGTTGTGACTCTATGATGTCTGCTTGTTGTGACTCTATGATGTCTGCTTGTTGTGACTCTATGATGTCTGCTTGTTGTGACTCTATGTCTGCTTGTTGTGACTCTATGATGTCTGCTTGTTGTGACTCTATGATGTCTGCTTGTTGTGACTCTATGATGTCTGCTTGTTGTGACTCTATGATGTCTGCTTTTTGTGACTCTGACGTCGGTTTGTTGTGACTCTATGATGTCTGTTTTTTGTGACTCTATGATGTCTGCTTGTTGTGACTCTATGATGTCTGCTTGTTGTGACTCTATGATGTCTGCTTGTTGTGACTCTATGTCTGCTTGTTGTGACTCTATGATGTCTGCTTGTTGTGACTCTATGATGTCTGCTTGTTGTGACTCTATGATGTCTGCTTGTTCTGACTCTGTGATGTCTGCTTGTTGTGACTCTATGATGTCTGCTTGTTGTGACTCTATTATGTCTGCTTGTTGTGACTCTATGATGTCTGCTTGTTGTGACTCTATGATGTCTGCTTGTTGTGACTCTATGATGTCTGCTTGTTGTGACATGAATCATAATCAATCACAGAATCTAATCACACAACTTTATCACGATATGTGAAGAATCTCAATAACATTGAATTGTGACCCAAACATCGCTGTTAAAAGTCCGTCACTACATTTCCCATGATGCACCTGTTAATATTGTAGTTCCACAGGAGCCATGTTCAGAGCTGTTACTGACAGTGTTAGGGCCGGGGCGGAGCCTGTGTGCGTGCGTCATGCCAACCATCAATAATCCTGCGTGTATAAGTTCTGAGTGGAGTAGACCGTGTACAATTTCTTACATTTATGTTTATTTTTAATTTAAAGTGACAGAAGGCAAAGAAGACATGGGAGGTGGTGAGAGGTACAACATTCCAGTTTCAACCCTGAAAGATCTTTGTCAAAGAAGAACCATGCACTTGGCCGAGCGAAGCAGAGGAGCCGTGAGCAGAACGGCAGTGGCAGCATCTTCAGGGAGCACGGGGGCCCTTCACCACAGTCATTGTCGCGGTGACAAGGGTGCAATGTTGCACAGGTCCCCAGAGGCCGTGTCTGCAGACAATGCCTCGCTCCGTTTGGCCTTTGGCTCTGACAAGAAGTGGGAGGGCGCAGTGTCTCACCTCAACACGTTCCTGAGTGCCCAAGGAAGTCCGAGCTACGCAGGGCCCAAGTTCAGCGTCCTGCCCAAGCCCCCCAGTCACTGGGGGCCCTTTCCAATGGGATGAAGCGCTATCAGAAAAAGAAAATAACCCTTTCAAAGAGTAAACACATCCCGTTCTACAGAATCAAAATGGAGCCCACCACCAAAAGAAAGTAGTCTGCAGTGAAGGGTCATTTTGATTTGATAAAAGCAAATAAGGTCATGTTTGTAGTTCATGGTTCACGCTTTATCTACGATCAATATTTAATTTCATGCAGGTCAAATGCTACATTTGTTCATCAGAACTGGCATATATCAATAAAAGCACATCCTCAATTAGCCTGGCCTTATCCATCTGTACTCACCGCTCAATCATCATTTCACTGCATGTAACGTCTGGGTCTAGTCCCTGTGTTAGCGATTACAATCGGTTGAATTTCGACCGACCAATCAGAGTGCGCGGAAGGAGAGTGTTGTAGTTAGTTGTGGGTGACATGAAGAGTTTGCGTCGAACGGGCAGGTTGTTGGCAATGGAGAAAAATGTGATAGTAAAGTAATCCGGTCTGGTTCTATCAAGAAATTGAAGCCGGAGCAAGAGGAATGTTTAGCAAATGTAATCGCTAGAATAAATTGTGGCGCTACTCCCCACGGGCTCCGTTAGCGGCAAAGGAGATGGCTAGGCTAAACCTAGGCTAACCTTAACCCTAAATTCTAACGACAGACTCGGGCGCATTTCATACGTCACGGTAAACTCAGATCCAATCGTTTCAATCTGCAAAAGGAGTTAAAATTACACGTGTCCAAAAAACGAAATAGACTCAATGGCAATTATTTTTTTTTATTAAAATATATAAAACACTCAATGACATTTTGCTTAATAAATACATTCACAACTATCATTAATTATATTATTAATACTATTATAATTTTCACATAAAATGTCAAATAGTACCACAGACAATGCAGTAACGTAATATTGTGTACATACAATATGTAAAGGTCAATGAATCAATGAGTTGGATGCAATGATGTATAAGATCCACCAGGCGTCAGTAAAGAGCAGCACAAGCAACACTGTTGGCACAGTTTCAATACAGTTTGTTGGATGTGCCGAAACGATACGTGACGTTTCATTTACCCATCACTACACAGTAGCTTCAAAGTGTCATGAAGTATCCGAAAAAGCACCAAAATACTCGGAAGTCGCATTTTCTTTGCATAACAGCAGCCATTTTTGCTGTCCTGACACCGCTTCATTAACCGGAAGTTGATGTATCACGTGACTGCAAGCCAAGAATTGCAAAGTGAGTACTGTCACTTCCGTATTCGTCCCGGAAACCGGATTCGTCCAGAAGTTCAGTTTGATCCAATGATCATACGCAGCAGTAGATTACGTCACGGAATCTGGACGGAAGCGGAAGTAAACATAAAAAACTACCTATTCATGCCTAAACTTAACCAGCCATTCCCATAAAATAACCCCAACCCACCTTAACCCTAACCTTAACCATCTTACTCAGACCACCTTAACCCTAACCTTAACCATCTTACTCAGACCACCTTAACCCTAAACTTAACCATCTTACTCAGACCACCTTAACCCTAACCTTAACCATCTTACTCAGACCACCTTAACCCTAACCTTAACCATCTTACTCAGACCACCTTAACCCTAAACTTAACCATCTTACTCAGACCACCTTAACCCTAACCTTAACCATCTTACTCAGACCACCTTAACCCTAACCTTAACCATCTTACTCAGACCACCTTAACCCTAACCTTAACCATCTTACTCAGACCACCTTAACCCTAACCTTAACCATCTTACTCAGACCACCTTAACCCTAACCTTAACCATCTTACTCAGACCACCTTAACCCTAACCTTAACCATCTTACTCAGACCACCTTAACCCTAACCCTAACCATCTTACTCAGACCACCTTAACCCTAACCTTAACCATCTTACTCAGACCCACCTTAACCCTAACCTTCACCATCTTACTCAGACCACCTTAACCCTAACCTTAACTATCTTACTCAAACCACCTTAACACTAACCTTAACCATCTTACTCAGACCCACCTTAACCCTAACCTTAACCATCTTACTCAAACCACCTTAACACTAACCTTAACCATCTTACTCAGACCCACCTTAACACTAACCTTAACCATCTTACTCAGACCACCTTGACCATCTTACTCAGACCACCTTAACCCTAACCATCTTACCTAACCTTAACTATCTTACTCAGACCCACCTTAACCCTAACTTTAACCATCTTACTCAGACCACCTTAACCCTAACCTTAACCATCTTACTCAGACCCACCTTAACACTAACCTTAACCATCTTACTCAGACCACCTTAACCCTAACCTTAACCATCTTACTCAGACCACCTTAACACTAACCTTAACCATCTTACTCAGACCCACCTTAACCCTAACCTTAACCATCTTACTCAAACCACCTTAACACTAACCTTAACCATCTTACTCAGACCCACCTTAACCCTAACCTTAACCATCTTACTCAAACCACCTTAACACTAACCTTAACCATCTTACTCAGACCCACCTTAACACTAACCTTAACCATCTTACTCAGACCACCTTAACCCTAACCCTAACCATCTTACTCAGACCACCTTAACCCTAACCTTAACCATCTTACTCAGACCACCTTAACCCTAACCTTAACCATCTTACTCAGACCACCTTAACACTAACCTTAACCATCTTACTCAGACCACCTTAACCCTAACCTTAACTATCTTACTCAGACCACCTTAACCCTAACCTTAACCATCTTACTCAGACCACCTTAACACTAACCTTAACCATCTTACTCAGACCACCTTAACCCTAACCTTAACCATCTTACTCAGACCACCTTAACCCTAACCCTAACCATCTTACTCAGACCACCTTAACCCTAACCTTAACCATCTTACTCAGACCACCTTAACCCTAACCTTAACCATCTTACTCAGACCCACCTTAACACTAACCTTAACCATCTTACTCAGACCACCTTAACACTAACCTTAACCATCTTACTCAGACCACCTTAACCCTAACCTTAACCATCTTACTCAGACCACCTTAACCCTAACCTTAACCATCTTACTCAGACCACCTTAACCCTAACCATAACCATCTTAGACACCTAAACTTAACCAGTCACCACTTAAGGACTTATAACACTTTTTGACATGCGCAAACTGAACTTCCGGACAAATCTGGTTTCCGGGACGAATACGGGAGTGAAGTACTTCTTCTTCTGTAATTTCATGGCGGGCTACGAATCAACATTGACGTATGCCGCCACCTGCTGTATCAGAGTGTTATACTCCATGCCTTTGGTACAATGTTACAGTCTATTTATAATTTTTGTTGAAGTTAAAAAAATAAAATAGTGCCCTCCATGCCTTCTCTTGATTAAGCCCCTCTCCCAAAATACCCTCCATGCTCCACTCCCGCCCTGCTTCTGTCACTGAGCCCTTAAGAGCATGCCTTTGCACACTGTACTTCTCACATTTCAACAGCACATGCTCAACTGTCTCACTTCCATCACACATGTCACACTTATCTGTAGCAGACTTATTTATTCTGAATAATGTTGAGTTCAGGCCTGTATGTCCGAGCCTTAGGCGGGTAAGTGCTGTATCGTTTCTCCTGTGATAACTGGCAGGTGTTAATCGGCAAGCTCTGACACTCTTTTTGATTCCGTACAAATCTCGACAGTTAGTGTCCAACAGAAAGGATTGGTGATGATCAGGACACTTTAGCATTCTACAACATGTATGGACATTTTCTTCTGTGTGTGCTTTATATTCTTCATGTGTTTTAACTGTTGATTCTCTGACCTGTGTTGGTGATTTCAATGGTTTTGTTAAGTCTCTGAGATGACTTCTGTTGTGACCTAGGGCTATACAAGAATACATTGTATTGTATTGTAACATCATGGTCCCATATCTCCTGCCACACTGCAACAATGCTCTGATTTAATACATTTTTAATCTCTGATCCTCCAAATGGAACTGTAATGTTATTCTCTTCTTGAAGTGCTCTTTTTGCCAGTTTATCTGCCACATCATTCCCAAAAATATCAACATGGGCAGGGATCCAACAAAACTGCACTTGGATACCCATCTGTTGTAGATTCAATAGTATCACATTTACTTATAATCAAATCATTTCGACAAGTCATTCCTGAAGTCAGACTCTGCATCACTGCTGCAGAGTCTGAACAGATAACCACCCAAAGCGGCTTCACTTCCTCAACCCATTGCAGGCCAAGTTTTTTGGCGAACAGTTCTGCAGTGTAGACTGAAAGATTGTCCGAGAGTCTCTTTGAGAAGCATTTTTCAAACTTTGGAATGTACACGACAATGAAAGGGCGACAGTAGCTCAGTTGGTAGAGCATTGGCCTTAAGGCCAGAAGGTCGTGGGTTCAATCCCACCTCTGCACCTTCTCCACCGACTCCCACTGATGACTGCTGTCGATGTGTCCTTGGGCAAGACACTTAACCCCACTTTACCCAAAGCTCCCACTGAAAGATCAAGGCTATGCTCACACTCAGAGAGCAGCCGTCCTCCTGTGGACTCACCACCTGCAGAGGGTCAGTGAGGGGCTGGTGCTATGAGACTTGGGTGCATCTCTGACTGCCACCCCCCTGACCCAGAAATGGATTAAAGGGTAGAAAATGGATGGATGGATGGAATGTACACACCCACTCCAACACGACCATTGCTACATTCCTTAGATCCATCAGTAAAAATAGGCAAACAATACGAGTATCTTGTATCCAAATACTTTTGTGACATATATCCCAAGTCACAATTCTTACCCTTCCATTCTTTCTTTTTATTCAGCAGACTCAAATCTACTTGAGGCTGTGGAAGCATCCAGGGAGCAATGTTACAATACACTGTAGTAGGAGACAACATTATGAACTTTCACCAGCTCTTTAATTCTCCACCCAATCCTTTTGTCCTTGAAGTCTGATCCAGTGTGAGAGAGCTACCTTCGATCTTCTCAATGTTAATGGGAGTTCCCCAGATTCTACAAGTAGATTTCATAGCACCAATACACACTCTCAATGCCCTGAACTGTACTTGATCCAGCTTCTCAAGATGGGATTTAGCTGCAGACTCATAAACCATGCAACCGTAGTCTAAGGTAGGCCTCATGATAGCTCTGTACATCTTAAATAAAATAATTCTGTCTGCACCCCATTGGGAGCCTGATATACATTTTAATAAATTCACAATCTTCTTGCATTTTGTCTCTGTGTTCTCTACATGTTTACCCCAGAGCTTCTCATCAAACCACATTCCCAGATATTTGAAATGAGTTGCTTTTCCCATCTGACAATTGTGCAGATGAAGAGCTGGAAAGCACGCAGTCTTTTTCCTACTAATTACCATGTAACAAGATTTTTCAACTGAAATCTAAAACCCCCACTCATACGACCATTTTTCCACTGCACAAATAGCTTTTTGCATACATTTAAATACATGTTTAATATTCTAACCCCTTTTCCACACTGCTCCATCAACTGCATATAGTGAAGACTGAATGCCATCTCCAATCGAATCAAAGATATCATTAATCATCAAGTTGAACCTAACTGGGCTTACCACACTGTGGAATTCCATTAACAATGTCAAAACTCTCAGATATAGCACTGCCCACTTTGACTTGGAATTTCCGTTTAGATAAAAAACTTTTCATCCAATTGAACATTTTCCTTCTAAGACCCATTCTTCTCATTTTAATGAGGAGACCCTCTCTCCACATTGAATCACCTGATGAAGACCATGGAGCGGCTCATCCTCACCCATCTCCGCTCCGTGGTCAGCCCCACCCTGGACCCGCTGCAGTTCGCCTACAGACCCAACATCGGAGTAGAGGACGCCATCATCTTCTTCCTGCAGCAGACGCTCTCCCACCTGGAGCCTGCCGGGAGCGCTGTGAGGGTCATGTTCTTCGACTTCTCCAGTGCTTTCAATACCATCAGGCCGGCACTGCTGCAGGGGAAGATGGAGGACGCGGGAGTGGACAGTAGCCTCACTGCATGGACCATCAACTACCTCACTGCATGGACCATCAACTACCTCACTGCATGGACCATCAACTACCTCTCAGACCGACCACAGTACGTGCGGCTGCGCAGCTGTGAGTCTGAGGTGGTCGTCTGCAGCACTGGGGCCCCTCAGGGCACTGTCCTCTCACCGTTTCTCTTCACCATCTACACCTCAGACTTCACACACGACACACACAGCTGTCACCTGCAGAAGTTCTCCGACGACTCCGCCATCGTGGGCTGTGTGTCTGAGGGGAACGAACTGGAATATCGGTCGGTTATCACAGAGTTTGTTGCCTGGTGTGAGCGCAACCACTTGTGCTTGAACACCAGTAAGACCAAGGAGATGATCATCGACTTCAGGAGAAAACCACTTTCCCACACGCCGCTGAACATCCAGGGGGAGGACATTGAGCTGGTGGACAGCTTCAAGTACCTGGGTGTTCACATTAACAATAAACTGGACTGGTCCCATAATACAAACGTCCTGCACAAGAAGGGCCAAAGTCGCCTCTTCCTTCTGAGGAGGCTGAGGTCCTTCTGAGGAGGCTGAGGTCCTTCTGAGGAGGCTGAGGTCCTTCTGAGGAGGCTGAGGTCCTTCTGAGGAGGCTGAGGTCCTTCTGAGGAGGCTGAGGTCCTTCTGAGGAGGCTGAGGTCCTTCTGAGGAGGCTGAGGTCCTTCGGAGTGAGCAGGCCTCTGCTCAGGACTTTTTATGACTCTGTGGTAGCTTCTGCCATTTACTACACTGCCGTGTGCTGGGCCCCGGGCAGCACAGAGCGGGACAGGAACAGACTGAACAAGCTGGTCAGGAGGGCCAGCTCCACTCTGGGCTGCTCCCTGGACTCTGTGGAGGAGGTGAGGGACAGGAGGCCCCTGGACTCTGTGGAGGAGGTGAGGGACAGGAGGGTGCTAGCCAAAGCCACCTCCATCATGAACAACACCTCCCACTGCACAGGACTGTAGAGGAGCTGAGGAGCTCCTTCAGTGGAAGACTGAGGCACCCTCAGTGTAGGAAGGAGCGCTACCACAGGGCCTTTATCCCCACCGCTGTCAGACTGTACAATAAGTCACTTTAAATGATCACTGTGTGAAAACCTGCACTACTATTGACACTGTTTCCAATTGTCACTTGTCACTTTTATTGTACATATATATCCTGCATGTACCATGTTTGC